TGTTTTTAAAAGTCACAAATTAGTGCAAACTCAAGGTGCAAAAAAATGACAACTATGTTCTTTATGACTATAATGATGATAAATAATGAATAAGTTCGAGCATAATGTTATTTTGAAGTAAAGGATGGAGTTGTTTGCTGGGAGCTGGGTGTCATCTGCATAACAGTGGAAATCAATGAAGAGGAGGGGTCCTAGGACAGAGCCCTGGGGTACACGGGTGGTAAAGGATGGCTTGGAAGCAAAAGATTGAAGTTGAACAAACTGAGTGTGACACCAAAGATATGACTGATTAGATCAAAGTTTGGAAAAATTATGATTTTACACATGAGGCAAGTTACTGGTTATTACCTGCTACCACAAGCTTAGAGCACCCATTTATTAATGCCTATCATCATTATTATTATTAATAATACTATTATTTGAAATACAAAGACAGGCAGCACCGCAACTCATGATAATCAAGCAGGGTGGGATTTACTACATGTTTGAATCTTCTGCTCCCAGGACTGGAGCAAACCTCACCAGTTCACATTTTGATTGAAAGGCCAGCTTCAACACGGATCTAGACGTTTCTGTTTTAGTCGTGAGAAAAACAGAAACACAGAAGCAGACCCCCCCCCCCCCCCACCGCCCCAGAACACCCCCCCCCAGGTTTCAGCTCGGTGTGTGCTTTGTAGGCTGTGGACTCACAGGCGCCCCCATCGGTGCAGCAGAGGTACTGCTGCCTCACCTCGTGTTCACGGCTGTTTAATGAGAAATAAGCCAGATTTGAAAATGAAACTATGCACAAAATATAAATTACTGCATGTATACCTCATATTTTGGTCTAGATCTTTGTATTAGTCTTAGGAGCAGACCTGTATTTCATAATAAGAGTGTGTGTGTCCACGCTCAGTAGCTATAACATCGTTTCTGTGGGAGAAAGTGATCATTTGAAGCTTACAGACGCAGAGCTGGGGAGGTGCTGCTGTGAAATCCCTGCATCTTACAGAACGTGCCCAGCCGGGGGGATGACTGGCTTAGATTACCTGAGGAGGAGGAAGAAATCGAACAGTCCTGACGTATGCTCAGTAATCCAGGTAGAAACATGCAACAAAGTCAAGTCCTGCTTGTGTTAGCAGTCTCAGAAACACGCCTGGTACAGGTGCTGCCATGACTGTTACTCACAATCGCAACCTGTAGCATGAGCTACAATAATCTGGCCAATAGTGGTCATAACAAATCTCTGAGTCTGTGCTGTGGCAACATTTTTATATTTAAATTAAGATTATTTTCTGTGTCTCACTAGCAGAGAGAGCCGAGTCACTGTTCAAGTGATGCTCTGTCATCCATCCATCCATCCAGCCATCTGTCCATCCATCCATACATACATACATCCATCCATCCATCCAGCCATCCATACATCCATCCGTCCAGCCATCCATACATCCGTCTAAAGTACAGGGTGCTGACAGACAGGCAACAGTCGCCTATAGGTCCGTCCGTCCATCATCCATCCATCATCCATCCATCCATCCATCCATCCATCCATCCATCCGTCTATCAATACATCCGTCTAAAGTACAGGGTGCTGACAGACAGGCAACAGTCGCCTATAGGTCCGTCCGTCCACCATCCATCCATCATCCATCCATCCATCCATCCATCCATCCATCCATCCGTCCATCCATACATCCGTCTAAAGTACAGGGTGCTGACAGACAGGCAACAGTCGCCTATAGGCTTGGCTAATGGTCAGTCAAACAAGGGTCCATCC